TGGCTACAACAGCTACTCATTTCTTTCAGTTGGCCATGGACGTTCTTCGTGACTACTACCCGACGATCCACTTGGATGAGGACTTCCTTAGAGCTGAGGTCACGACGAGAAGATATGATGGTGAAGATGACCGTTGCTTCAGGTGGAGCGGGAGCTTCGGATGGAGCAGGCGCTTTGGGCGGAGCGGGTGTTTCAGGTGGAGCAGATGCTTCGGGTGGAGCGAGCTCGATTAGGAGAGCTCTTGACCCCGTGACCCATTCTTTGGGTTCTCTGGGATCCTTTGGGCGACAGATTAGCAATCTTGCGGGATCTACCGATGTGAGGGTGGAGGACTTGGAGCACCTAGACCTGCCAACTATTCATTTCTCGGGTCTCCCATCTGCCCCTCATGTTTTCCCCCCTCGCCCTTCTGGGTTTGAGTAGGTTGAGATATGAAAGTTTCTTATTCTTCTTACGTAACCTTTATTTCTCGTTGGTTTTGTTGTAAACTACCATGGAACAAGTTAAGAAGTGCGCTGAAGCACCCTTTTATATCATCATACACTAGACTTTATTTCGGGATACATTATTACATTGGGGTGAAGTATCGTCGTAGGTGCATGGAGTTCCAAGTTTTTGACATATCACTGCCTTCGATGTCCTCCAGTTTAACGATGTTGGGGCTGACAACTTTCCTCACCTTGTATGGTCCTTCCCACTTGGGAGTAAAATTTCCCTGGCAGGGATCAGAGCGGAAGTTTCTCCTTAGAACCCAATCACCCACTCGGAGCGGGCGCTACTTCACCTTGGAGTTGTAGTATCTTGCAACTCGATCTTGGGAAGCAACGAGGTGGAGTCGGGCGTCTTCACGTCGTTCCTCTGCCAGGTCCAGGTTTATGAGCTCCTGTAGGTTGGTGCTTGGGTTGAAGGACAAGATCAGATATAAGGCTAACTCCATCTCAATAGGTAGTACAACATCAATACCATATGTGAGCGCATAGGGCGTGTCACCGGTGGCGTTCTTGTAAGAGGTCCTGTAAGCCCATAAAACATGCGGTAGCTCCTCGGACCATCTTCCCTTAGCAGTATCCAAATGGGGTTTTAACCCCCACAAGTACTCTTGTTGGTAGACTCGGCCTGACCATGGGCTTGTGGGTAGGCAATAGAGGCATATTTGAGGAGGATTCTGTAACGAGCACAATAAGTTTGGAGCTCGTCACTCTAGAATTGCGTGCCTTGTTCGAGAAAAATTATGTGAGGGAGGCTGAACCGACATATTATATTATTCCATAAGAATCTGAACCTTCTGAGCCGTCATTCCCGTGAGAGCTTCTACTTCAATCAATTTAGTGAAATAGTCGATTGCGAATATAAGCCACTTCTTATTGTCGGGAGCTCTAGGGAAGGGCCCATGAAAATTCATCCCCCATTGAGAGAAAGGCCAAGGGCTGAGATTTCCTTGCATGGGTGCGGTTGGTGCATGAGGAACATGGGCCGCCACCTGACACTTGGGACATGCTTTGATGTATGCATTGGCGTCTCGATAAAGTGTTGGCCAATAATAACCTTAACGGAGGAGGGTTTTTTCCAGGCTTCATGGACCGACATGCATGGCACACAATCCCTCATGGACTTCATGAAGGAAAAATGGGCTTCCCCTTTACTAAGACATCTCGGGTACGGGCCAGCAAAATTTTTTCGATAAAGGTCATTTTCAATCAATGTGTACAAAGGGGCCCTCCGTTTCAGGCGAATAGCCTCCTTTGGGTCACTGGGAAGGATTCTGTTGCGGAGGTATTCTAGGAGGGGTCTACGCCAATCATGTTGGAGGGGACCCATTTCTGCCCGAGCACACAATAACGCTGGGCGATGCTTCACTATCATGTGTCGCTCATCTACGAAATCTCTAGCGGTTGCTAACTTGGAGAGAGCATCAGCATGCATATTATATTCACGAGCAATATGGATGATTTGTGCATGAACAAAGTCAGCAAGAGCCGCTCGCACCGCCCCAACGTAGGTGGCAAGTGTCGGCTCTCGAGTTTCAAAGGCCCCCGTGACTTGGTTGACCACGAGTGCTGAATCAAACTGGACAAGTACTCGTTGCACCCCCAGCTCTTGTGCCATGGATAACCTAGCTAGTAAGACCCGGCTGCATTGTTTGTTTTTGGGGTGGTAAACCTGATGGCGAGCTCGTGAGTGACACCCAGTGGGCTTATTAGCAGGATGCTTGCCCGACACCAGACTTGTTAGACAAGAAAATCAGCAAGTACTTACTTCTAGTGGAGAGAAAAAACTTACTTCTTCGACAACAAAATCAACAAGTACTTGTGATTTAATGGCTGTTCGGGGAAGGAAGGTGATATCAAACTCACTCAACTCTATGCCCAATTGACCATTCGTCTTGAGATGTCCATTTTTTGGAGAAGGTGTCTAAGAGGGAGGTGGGTTAGGACACAAGTGGCATGACTTTGGAAGTAGGGGCGCAGTTTTTGAGAGGCGACGACTACGGCGAGTGCAGCTTGCTTAACCGACGTGTATCTTGTCTCAGCATCCAGGATCGTTTTGCTTGTGTAGTATATAGGGTGTTCTCTCCCATCATGGTCTTTCCGCACTAAAGACTGCACTAACCGCTTTAGGAGACATGACAATGTAAAGATAGAGAACTTCATTATTCAGAGGGGTGGAGAGTACAGGAGGGGTGACCAGGTAATTTTTAGCTCTTCAAATGCCTTTTCACACTCAGGTGTCCATACAAAGGTTTTACTAGCCCCTTTGAGAGTAGTGAAGAATGGAGCGCACTGATCTCCGCAACGGGCGATGAATCGGTTGTAGGCGGCAATCCGTCCATGAAGACTTGGACTTCTCTTCCTTTGGTTGGTGGTGACATTTGGAAAATGACATCAATTTGACGTGGGTTAGCCTCGATACCCCTTTGAGTGAGCATGAAACCAAGAAACTTCCCAGCGGTGGCCCCAAAGACATACTTTTTTGGGTTAAGACGAAGGTCGTATAGGCGCATAATGGTGAGGGACTCCCTCAAGTCCTCTAGGTGCTCATCTATACCCTCTATTTTGATAAATATGCCATCGACATAAGCTTCCAGATTTCTCCCTAGCTGACGAGCAAAAATGCGGTCCACCATTCGATGGTATGTGGCGCCGACATTTTTTTAGCCCAAAAGGCATCGCCTTGTAGCAATGGTTGCCTACAGGTGTAATGAATGCAGTTTTCTATTGGTTATCCTTTCTCATGGGGATTTGATGATACCCTGAGAACATATCCAGGAAGCTGAGAAATCGGTGGTCGGCGGTGGCATCGACCAGCTGGCCAATCTTTGGGAGAGAATAGGGATCTTTGGGACATGCCTTGTTGAGATCTGTGAAGTCGATGCATATTCTCCATTGGTCATTTGCCTTCTTCACCATTACCACATTTGCGAGCCATGTCGGATAGAGAACTTCCTGAATGAATTTTGCTTTGAGAATTTTTGATACTTCTTCCGTCACTGATTGGCATCTTTCCCAAGCAAAATTGCATCGCTTTTGTTTGACAGGCCGGCTGCCAGGTGCAATTCCAAGTGCATGCTCTGCCACCCGGTGGTCGACGTCGGGCATGTCCTCTTCCCCCTGGAAAAAACCTCTTCAAACTCTTTGATAAGTGTCAAAAGAGATTGAAGTGCCTCACGAGGCCATGTTGTAGATATACGGATTGTGTGCCCCTTGAAGATAGGGAAATCCTCATCGGGGTCAACGAGAACGGGACGAATGCCTTCTTCTTGGTCGTCAATGTTGACAACCACTTTCTTTTGTAACGAAAGTGTGCAACACTGTTTGGCAAGAGATTGATCTCCTCGGACACATCCAATGCCAGTGTTTGTTGGAAACTTAAGGCAGAGGTGGAATGTGGAGGGGACTGCCCGAAGTTGATGTAAGGAAGGTCGCCCTAGAATGCAATTGTATACTGATGGGCAATCTACGATGTGAAAGTTGATGACAGTCTCTGCAATTTGGTCCCCTTCCCCAACACGGACACGTAGTGGGAGCGTCACGATCACGGGTACCTGAGTTCTTGAGAAACCGACCAAGCAAATTTTGGCAGGCCGACATTGGTTTGGGAGGTACCCCAGGGAGAGGTAAGCAGGGTAAAACAGGAGATCCGTCGGGCTACCTCCATCCACCAAGATTCATTTGACCTTGTAGTCTGCAATCACAGCCTCAATCACTAACGGGTCATCATGGGGGTGGGGGACTCCGTCCAAGTCGTTACGGGGTGAAAGTCCGGTCAGGCTTCGAGATTGACTCCTCCCAATGCCTCTCTCGAAGTTCCCCTTGCCTTGGCTAGATGGAGAGCTACCTTGTTGATGGTCACAAGACTTTGGTGAGTCTGAACGATGTGGAGGTGAGGATTCTCGTTTCATTTTTTGTGGTGACAGAGCACGCTTTGGGGGAACTGCCTCTTGTAAAGTTTCATCGAGGGCGATGTATTTGAACACCAGATCCATCATGTTGCAGGGGCACCGCTTTACGAGTGACGCTCGGAGAAGGGAGTTGCTTGTTCCAAATACGAGGGCATGAGTTGCATTTTCTGTGGTTAGGTTTGTAACCCCGACAGCAATCATGCTGAATCGAGAGTAATACTCCTCGAGGGTCTCGTATTCTCTTTGTTTTGTGCTCATGAGGCGAGACACGTCCACATTTGGCCGTTTTTGGGCAAAAAACTTGGCTCCAAAGTGGGTGGCGAACTCCTCAAAGTTGGTGATTATGCCACTTCGCAACTGAGTATATCATTGAAATGCCACTCCCCTGAGGGTGGTGGGGAAGAGTTTGCACATGGTAGCGTCAGATGCCCCCACGAAAGGCATCAAAATTTGAAAGGCACTAAGGTGATCCTCTGGGTCGGGACTGCCGTAGTATTCTGGAAGGTGGTGAGGCATTCGGAAGTTCGGGGGGGGGGGGGGGGGGGGGGGGGGGGGGGGCTTGTCCAGGATTAAACGGGCCAAAGGCTTTTCGTGCCCAGGGTCAGCGATGAAATTGGGAGTCAGGTGGGAGGTGAGGTTCAAGGTATGAGAGATCCCCTAGTTGTGAAGGTGGAGGAGGGACTGACGTCCCATTGGGGTAGGTTGACCCTCCGGTGGTCTCCGATTGGTGGCTAGAGCTTGCATGCAACCCATGGGGTGAAGGAGAAGCTGATGTCAACGCTTGGACTTGGGCTTTCAACTGCTCAACTTGGTCTTGAAGTTCTTTGACAAATGGTGGAGGAGCTGGATCTTTGTCTCGAACTCCGCCACCGATTTGGGGGTGTAGGGTGATTTGAGACTCCATCCTGAGTGAAGTAGTGGCGCTAGGTTTTCTTCAACCTTTTGCTCCGGAGCCCCACAGTGGGCGCCAATTCTTGATGCCGGAGTTGTAGCTGACGTCGAATTTTGTATGTTGGGAACCGAAGTTGGTTGACGACCACCTTTCACCTCGAACTTCAATTGTGATGTCAGCTCCGCTCGTCTCCAGCAAAAACGGTCCGCCGACCGATCTCGACAAGGACACTCTCTGACGCTCAAGTTAGAGAGTGGGTTGAGTGGAGAGGAATATGACCTCGAAAAGAAAGATGAGGGAATGGAGTTGAGAATGAATTTCTACGCTAATAATAGCGCGAGTTCACGAGTCTAGGCATGGGGATTTTTTGCTTACATCAATCTGGAGACGAAGTGGTCTTTTATAGAGGCCCCCAGGCGAACATGAAGGGAGTGCGTGTCTCATTCAGGAGCTTGGAGGTGTTGTGGGAGGACACGTTGCGGGGGTAAGTGGCTAAAGGTCAAGGTAACCTGGGGTGGGCGGAGAGTCCAAGATAGTCGAGGTGACCCGGGGTAGTTGACCACGGGGATGACCCGAGGTGACCCGAGGTAATTGACCCCAGGTGGCTGGAGTGACCCCGGGGTGGGGTAGGTGACCCGAGGTAATTGACCCCGGGTGGCCGGAGTGACCCCAAGGTGACCCAGGGTGATTGACCATGGGTGGCCGGAGTGATCCCGGGGTGGGCTAGGTGACCCAAGGTATTTGACCCCGGGGTGGCCGGAGTGACCCCAAGGTGACCCAAGGTGATTGACCCCGGGTGGCCGGAGTGACCACGGGGTGGGCTAAGTGACCCAAGGTATTTGACCCCATGGTGGCTGGAGTGACCTCAAGGTGTCCCAAGGTGATTGACCCCGGGGTATGCTAGGTGTCCCGAGGTATTTGACCCCGGGGTGGCCGGAGTGACCCCAAGGTGACCTAAGTTGGGTGACCTAGAGTGGCTAGAGTGACCCAAGGTGACCCAGGGTGATTGACCCTGGGTGGTCGGAGTGACCCCAAGGTGACCCAGGGTGATTGACCTAGAGTGGCGTGAATGACCCCAAGGTGACCCCGACGTGGGCAAGGTGATCCAAGGTATTTGACGACGGGGTGGTCGGAGTGACCCCAAGGTGACCCAAGGCATTTGACCTCGGGGTGACCGGAGTGATCCCAATGTGACCCAAGGTGATTGGCCCCAGTTGGCCGGAGTGACCCCAAGGTGACCCAAGGTATTTGATCGTGGGTGGGCGGAGTGACCCCGGGGTGTGGTTGTTTCCATCAAATAAAATAAAATTTTCTTAGGGTCCACCATGAGGAAAAAATTGTTATTTGCCTTAGAACATAAAATCCAACATGCATGAATAATTTTGACTTTCTAAATCTTAGTAAATAACAAAGATACAAGATCAAAGAATCCCAACTCGCACCATAACGTCACAAACATTAACATAATGTCATATGAAGACACGATCGTCCATATTCTCTGGTGAAATGTGGTTGTCAGTGAACGAGGGGACAAGATTCTCAAAATTAAGTTGAGATTTGAGTTTTGTCGGGGGAGTTGGGAGAGTGATCGAGTGAGATTGATAGACCAATAATTACACATGTTTATACCCCTATTCTTGAGCCGTTAAAGAAGAGATTCTCGTGTTTTAAGCCGATTTCACGCTAGGTTGTGTGTTTATGTCATATTTCAGGACTTGGCATTGATGTAAAGGCGAGGAAACGAGTTTCGGGGCAAAAAGGAGGACAATGGAGTGAAAGGCGATGGAAGAGGAAAATACCCGGCCAGGAGTAAAAATACCCGGCCGGGTGAATTGCTAAGAGAGGCCGGGGAAAGTTGTTTTTGGACGCCAAGAAGCAGGAGGGGTCCCGGCCAGAGAGCAAAAATACACGATCAGGTATTCTGGACCACGATCGGGTATTAACCCCTTTGGTGTTGCGCTGCATTTCGAAATCCCCGGCCGGACACTGGAAATACCCGACCGGGTATTATGGCCGGGGATCGCGATCCGCTGGTTCTTTAGGCATAGAAGACCAACTTTTGAAAGGTTCTGAGTTTTAGAGAGACAAAGCTGATACCTAGAGAGAGAGAGAGAGAGAGAGAGAGAGAGAGAGTGACGAACCTGATTCTCCAAGTATGGTTTCCACGTCTGAACTAGATTTCTCTTCTCTCTCTATGGAGTAACTTCCTCATTCACCTGGGTATGAAGAACCCTAGATTTGTATGTTAGGTCTGATTGTATAAAACCAAGTACGAATTCAGTGATATGATTATATTCAATTGAGGTTTGATTTCTTGAATGGTATGAATCCTGATCAAATTCCTGTTATTTCTGCTTTGACCTAGAAAGAGAGTATCTGCCTAGGTTGATAGAGAACCCTTGATTGAAGGTAGTGAATTGACTATTCTATACCGGATTTACTTCGGTAGAGAAGGTTTGGTTCGTTTGGGCCTCAATCTGTTAACTCCGGTGGAGGTTAGTCGCCCGCTGGGGACTCAGATTGAGAGGGTCTGGAGACCTTTAGTTGAGACTGCAGACTGTTTAAGAACCTCCCGCAGTATAACTATCATTGAACTTGAAATTGGTAAATTATAACTTGGCTTAACTGCAGTCTAAGGGGAACCATATCTGGGTGACCTCTCTCAACTTGAACACAACTTTTACTGTTTTGCTTGCTAGTTTAACTAAACCTTCACTACACTTGAACCGCTAGATAACAGGACTTTCACGGAGTAGTCATCACACCTAGGACCCGGGTTGACAATTAGAATTGAACCCGTTATACTACGCATTAGTAGGTGTTTACACTTGGCCACTTTGTAGTGTGACGATAGAGGCGTGTCAAGTTTTTGGCGCCGTTGCCGGGGACGGCTAGGTTGTTGAAGAAACGTGATTTCTGTTACTTTAGCATTTCTAATTCTGCATTGATTGTTTGCTTTTTCCTGCTTGTGCCTTCACGGGTTTGCATTGCTTGGCTGTGTGCAGTTAGTGCATGACCCATAACCAGTCGGGAGGTTTACTACCGTTAGATCCGGAGCTAGAATGCACCTGTTGCCAACTAAGGAGACAACAACGAGGGAGATTGGCTACGGAGGAAGTGCGCATTGACTGCCACTTGAGCAGCGATTCTGAGGAGGAGTACGAGATGGACTGTGCGCAAACCCGCCCCAGGGGATGCCTCTCCAGGTTCCCCCAGTGAATCAGATCCTAGGGAACAACCCAGTCACCCAGGCAGATGGGGCTCAGCATCAACCACCGCCGCCGGGTCCTACTACGGAGTACTACTACACTCCATGGGTTGCCGACATCCGCCCCATCATCCTCTATCCGCCCATTCCAGCAAACACCTTTGAGATCAAACCATGCTGGATTCAACTGATTACATCCTCTATCCAGTTCCATGGCTTGAAGGACGAGGAGGCGAGGGTGCACCTTTCCCGGTTCCTGCAGCTAACAAATGGATTCAAGATGAATGGTGTACCCGATGATGCGATTCGTCTCCACCTTTTCCCCCATTCTCTGGCGGGGCATGCAGAGAAGTGGTTAGAGACCCAACCCCCACTATCCATCACATCGTGGGACGACTTGGCCGACAAATTTGTGCACAGGTATTATTCGGCCTCGAAGACCACGGAGATTCAGCGGGAGATCACTCATTTCCGCCAGGAGCCAGATGAGTCACTACGGGATGCCTGGGAGCGGTACTCGCGATTGTTCTGGTAGTGTCCCCATCATGTCTTCAGTGATGCATTCACAATGGGGAATTTCTACAGCGCTCTGACCCCAGAAAGCCAGAGGGTGATCGAGTCTCTATGTCTAGGAGGGGATATTATCACTAAGACTCCACCTGAGCTGAATCAGATGATCAGTACTCTGGCTACCAGGGATCACTCTTGGGGGCAGAGCACCAGAAGCAGGAGTTCCCGGGACCGAAGAGTGCACGCCATGGAGGCTAGGTCCGGGCTAGAACGCGAGGTGGCTGAGTTGGTCCAGACATTGAAGCAACCCAACAGTATTATTCCAGGCAAAGGACTAGCCGGGCCTCTAGTTGCTCAATGTCAATAGTGTGAGAGTTCGAACCATCTGGTGGAAGACTGCCAGGCCATGCGAGAGTCTTCTACACCCTAGGATCAGTTGGACTTCATCGCCAATGCTCGGCGACTTGATCCTTACAGTGATACATATAATGAAGGGTGGCGACAACATCCCAACTTCTCCAGGAATAATAGCAACACCACTAAACCACCTGGTTTTCCAGCACCAGCAGGTGGTTTTCAGCAGAGGGAGCCCTTCCAGGCCAGGTAGGGTCCTGTTCCACAACAGCAACCTTACGAGCCTAGACAGGGGCAACCATTCCAGCAGCCACAGTGCCAGTATGCCCAGCTGCCAGCAGCTCCAACTTCAGATACCAGATGACGGAGCTGAAAAATATTTTGCAGGCATTCATGACTACTAGTCAGGAGAACTTCGCTAGGATGGACAAGAACATAACTTCTTTGGAGGCATGTCAAAGGAACCAGGGTGCTATACTGTAGGATCTCAAGAATCATATTGGTGGCATTGCTCGCCAAAATAACACCAGAGCACCGAGGACTTTGCCTACCACCACCATTCCAAATCCTCGCGAGCCTCACCAGCAGTTGGATGCCTCACCACCAGGAGTGGCAAGACCACATCTGCTGCCCCTGCTCCGGCTAGGCAAGAAGAGCCACTACCTGCTTCAACACTTCCAACTGACGATGCAGAAGTGGGGATGGAGAAAGAAGCACATGCTTCCAAGCCACAAATAGTGGTTAAGGAGCATGTACCCAAGCTCATATTCCCCACTCGCCTACACAAAGACAAGTTGGAGACTGAGTTTGCCAAGTTCATGGCAATGTTGAAGTAGGTCAACATCAGCATACCGTTCGTGGAGGAACTGTCCAAGATGCCCAAGTACGCCAAATTCATGGAAGATCTCCTCACCAACAAGAAGAAACTTGGGGATCTCTC